ACTGTCGCCACGTGACCGCAGTGAGCGGAGACGCGAGGTAGCCGGGCATGCGCAGGAGGAGCTGCGAAGCCAGTGCCCTCAGTGGGGCAGAGCCCTGGCTGGGCGGGGCCCGCGCTGAAGGCGGGCGGGAGGCGTTCAGATTGGGTCGGGGGTCGCTGAGGCCGGGCTCGAGTGTCTCGCTTTGCCTCCCTCTGTCTCAGGAGCCTGGAGAGCAAAGCTAGCTGGCTGTTCACACCAGGGCAATTAGTCATTATCTATAATTCATCCCCATTCTTTCGGCTGGGGGTGGTGCAGAGGCAAGGAAGGAGGCAATTGTGAAACTCCTCCAGCGCATGCACCAGCTAGCACGTGCTGGGAGCTGTACCTATGCCTGAGGAGTGAATGGGCTAGCCTGGCAGTGAGATCCCTCCCTTGTGAAGAAAGGTGATAAATCTGGCATCTGCTAATGCATCCTCACCTCGGAGGTGAGGTTGGTAGGATGCCCTCATTGCTGTGGTGGAGGACAAACCAGTTTCCTTCACCAGAGGGAGTCAATTACCTCATGCTTTGCTACATTTGTGTTTCTGACTGCTCAAGGCTATGGGTCTACGGCTGTAGAAGAGAAATACATGCTAAACAGATCTATTTTCCTTCCCATCTCAGCTACGTTATGGAGTTTTATACTAATGTGGGCCGTAAAAGCTTTCTGAAAACATTTTCTGTGCCTAATTTGATACAAAATTACAAGGTAACTTCATTTTTTCAGAGAGGAGATAGAAGCTGATATCATGCTATGTGGTTACCCAGTAGCACCATAGCTGATGTCTTCCATCCCATGGCCCAAAAGACAACCACTGGAACATAAACCAGTCCTCCTAGGGATACTGGCAGCAGTTACACCTTTTTATGCCAGTGCTGAAAGTAAAGATACAGGGTCTGACCGGGGAGTTAGAAATCTCAGGGGATCCCCTCAGACACAGTTTCTGTGTGGTGGTGTGATTAGCAGCTTACTCCTCTTTTGCTCTATGCCAAGTTGCTTACCATAGTGCTCTGTTTCTCATGGTCAAAAGACCAGAGATGGCTCTGTTAAAGTGAGCTGTGCTGTTCAGGGTCACATCTCCTTTGGGGTGGAAGGCTGGGGTGGGCAATGCAGGCCAAGCAGCTGCCTGATCCAGGTGTGAATTCAGAGAGCCTTTATGCAAAGTCACTGACAAGACTTCAAGGAACAGGAGCTCTTCCAGTTCACTGTGGCTGTCATGGAGGAGAGTCATTAGTGGACTTACAGAAACCTCTGTCCTCAGCCTTCCAGTAGAAGGTAGAAAGAAGAGAGTAGACTGAAAATAGCCCTACATACTGGGCCCAAAGCAACCATACAATGCCTGTCACTGTGTTGCAAACGGTAGTATTTGGAGAATCTGCGGCCAGCGAGGTCTGTGAGTAGTGATGATCCTGAGGAAGAGGAGTAATATCTGGGTGGTGGGTGGCAGATGCTTGTGCTAGGAGTGCAAGTGCATCATTACTTATTGTCCACCTCCACCCTATCGTAATTCTAGCTCTAGCACACACAGGTATTCATGAGGGAGCAGCACTGCAGTCTCACAGTCGTCTGCTCAAGCCCTGCATGATTTTGCATGTGCCAGGCTTATAGATGCCAGGGAGGAAGTGAACAAGGCTGATGAAGGCAGGAGCTGGACTGAACTACCTGTCCTGTCGGGACTCTCTCTAGAAGGCAGCTCCTTGCTGTCCTGTGGCACAGGGTGATGCTCTTAGGAGAACTGTGGCGCTGTAAGGATTACCATCTTGTTCTTCCAGGGTCCCACAGACTACAGCAGCCTTCCCCCTAGGGTGTTGCCTGAATCCAAAAACAAAATGGCTCATGGGCTTAACGTAGCTGCCTTCCGCTGTATCTCAGGGATGTCCTGTGTGTGTAAAGGGTCCAATCCAGAAAAGAGCTTTTCTTCCGCTAGCTTTCTCAGCTGTAATGCATCCTGCAAATATGCAAATTTTGTTCTTAATTATCCTTTTCTGGCATCTATTCCAAAAAGGTGCTTTCCTTTCCTGTTTGTCCTGTGCATATGGCCATCTTGTGCTGATTGTCTGGTTTTATTACTGCTTCACACCTGCCCCCAGCCTCAATACTGCAGAGCTGTCAGCAGTGTTCTGGCTGTGTGCACCCCCTGACATCAGCCTTCCTCCTCCTCCTGCCTGACCCCAGCTGGACCCTCAAGCGTCCTTTCTTTGAAGTGATACAAGATGTCAGGGAAAAACTGGCCCAAGATGGGCTCTAGGGCACCGAAACACAACAAAGCACAACTTTTTCCTGTAGTCAGGCCACCTCAGCTCTTCAGGAGGCTCAGACCACAGCTCTCTCCCCTTGGTCAATGCATCAGCCCAGCAGCAAAATCTGTTGCAATGGCTGTATGTGCGCATCAGAGAACATAAGAATTTCAGCTTCTCTTTATCCAGGAGCCTCAGAACAGCAATCAAAAACTTCTGGAAAAACCTGTATATTAAGCCTTATCCTGATAGCGGACAATTCAGACGCTATCCCATGTGTGAGGGCCCTGCAGATGTCCACAGTGGTCTGGAAGAAGCTGTTTCTGCATTTTCTGTCAGCAGAGGAGAAATTGAGGGAAATCTCACATTTCTCCGAACAGGGAAAGCTGAAGCAAGTTGCTTGTCGGATAGATATTTTGCATTAGAACTGAAAGCTATTTAAGCCAAAAAAATCTTTGATTGGAGATGGTTATGGAAAACAAATTGCTGAGCATCTTTGTAGGTTTGGTTTAGACAGGAAATGCCAAACAACCACAGTGGGACCATGATGTGATACTAACCGTTGTTTTCTCTTTATTAATGTTTTTACTATAAAACATAAGGCATATTTCACCTCTAAAACGCCCCACTTTCTTTCAGAGTCCTTTCCTGAGCCTCATATCAGCAGATGCGGTGGATTTCATATTGTTTGGGCAGATACTGTTCAGTGCTGCACTGGGCAAGGATGGGCAGAGCTGTGGCAGGCTTTGGTGCTATTCATGGACTTGGAAGAGGCATGCGGAGCAAGGCTGGGAGGGAGCAGAAAGCAGGGAATCATCTCAAGGCAGGTGGCACAGAAAGGTGGCACATTTTCTGGTAAGAGTTGGGTGCACAGTTCTATGGAGGGCAGGCAGATACACAGATAAAGCACAGCTTCACACAGAACTTCACATCCTTCAAAGCACGTTAGTGCCCAACAACTGCAAACTTTGCAGCTCTGACCTTGCAAATCCCATTGTGTTTCCAGTCTGAACAGTAACGCCATGTGAGATGCGCATGAGAAAACTGTCGTGAAGAGCAAACTTGTGTCGGTGTGCTTGGTCACTGGAGAGAGAGCTTTATCAGCCACACCAGGCCCAGACTGTGAGGAGAAGTTGCTTCATGGGCCTCACTGAACTCTCCTTCAGTTCCTTCATGCCAAGTAAACCATTTACAATAGGACTTAATAGATATCTCCTATTGTGTAATTGCAGTAATGAATTCACGTGACTATGTGTCAGTGTGCATCTGGCTCTGTTAGCCTTCCGGAATCAGGCACTTGCCTCTGGCTCTGCTGCTGATCTGCAGTTTGTTACTACTTCAGCTAACTACTGGCTTGTCTGTGCTGCTTCATTTAAAACATAGCAACCTTTACCCCAAAACAAAATTCCCTTGTGAAAGGTGTTGTACAAAGGCACCCTCCATCCCAAGCAAGTTCAGAGAGACTGCAGGAGGCCAGT